AAGTTCAGAATCCTATAGCTTGATAACAGGTGTATTCATTATAATTCTGACAACAGATATAACAGTGAAGTCATGAAGATAAGACCGTTGAAAGTTCAGAATATCATAGCTTGATAACAGGAGTATTCATTATAATTCTGACAACAGATATAACAGTGAAGTCACGAAGATAAGGCCGTTGAAAGTTCAGAATCCTATAGCTTCATAACAGATGTGTCCATTATAATGCTGACGACAGATATAACAGTGAAGTCACGATAATAAGACCGTTGAAAGTTCGGAATCCTATAGCTTGATAACAGGTGTATTCATTACAATTCTGACGACAGATATAACAGTGAAGTCATGAAGATAATACGGTTGAAAGTTCAGAATCCTATAGCTTGATAACAGGTGTATTCATTATAATTCTGACAACAGATATAACAGTGAAGTCACGAAGATAAGACCGTTGAAAGTTCAGAATTCTATAGCTTGATAACAGGTGTATTCATTATAATGCTGACGACAGATATAACAGTGAAGTCATGAAGATAAGACCGTTGAAAGTTCAGAATCCTATAGCTTGAGAACAGGTGTATTCATTATAATGCTGACGACAGATATAACAATGAAGTCACGAAGATAATACCGTTGAAAGTTCAGAATCCTATAGCTTGATAACAGATGTGTCCATTACAATTCTGACAACAGATATAACAGTGAAGTCATGAAGATAAGACCGTTGAAAGTTCAGAATCCTATAGCTTGAGAACAGGTGTATTCATTATAATACTGACGACAGATATAACAGTGAAGTCACGAAGATAATACCGTTGAAAGTTCAGAATCCTATAGCTTGATAACAGATGTGTCCATTACAATTCTGACAACAGATATAACAGTGAAGTCAAGTAGATAATACCGTTGAAAGTTCAGAATCCTATAGCTTGAGAACAGGTGTATTCATTATAATTCTGACAACAGATATAACAGTGAAGTCACGAAGATAAGAACAATATGATCATCATGGCGAACTTTCAACTCAGCAAACCTCAAACCACAGCTTTGAGTAAATCTTCCCACCATCTTAATGTTAGATTCGAAAACTAGCTTTGGAGATCTTTGCAGGAAAGTAATAATACAATCAAATCACAAGTCCAATCAACAGCAGCTATTCACAAGACCTCAAAAAGAATCCGTGTCTAATTCCTCGCAGGATAACAGAAAATCACCGGAATTATTCAACATTCCAAAAAACAAGAACAACTTAATGAACAATTTTCCTGTCAAACCAAAAGCATGTCTGTTAAAACACTTGCTAGATGAATATAGAAAAAACTTCGAAAATTCTAAACAATAAGAAGCCTACAAAACAAAACTTGACATCAACAGAAAGAAAAGACTTAAGACTTCTTAGAAAAAAAACAAATTCACTGCCACCCAGAGAGCCGATAAAGGAAACTCTATCGTGACTCTACCACCCAAACAGTATGATTCCTTAATGGTAAATATGTTGAATGATACGTCTAAATTTACTCAGTTAGATACTGGCCTTAACCCAACATACAACAAAAAATTAAAAGTTACGGTTTACCCAAAGTCTATAAAATCAAATAATGTCGTCTGATAACTCTTTAAACTACAACCTATTACCAGTTTTAAAAATATTCTTCCTTTCTGTAGAAGCTGTAAGTTGTAATAAAACAATACTTATAATCAGCAAGTAAACTCCAAATGAAACTGTCGGTTATAATAATACTCAGTTTTTATCTGTCCTGAAAAATATGCGCATGCACATGTATTTCATTTCAAAGGAGGTAAACAAAAGGCGGATGTATACATACTTTAGTAAACATTTTGCACAACAGCATGTTAAAAGCTTAATAGAGTTTTTAAAAAGGTTTAACATTAGGTCGTAGAATAACATTATAAGTATATTTATTGATAGTATTAAGTACGGTAAAGTTTAGACCTAACTAAACGAAAGCAACAAAACGTACACAAGTTATATTAATTTATGCCTTTATCGAACATAGTCTGTACTGAGGCTTAACTAATGTTTGTTTGTTTTTTTAATTTCGTGCAAAGCTACACAAGGGCTATCTGTGCTAGCCGTCCCTAATTTAGCAGTGTAAGACTACGTCATCACCACCCACCGCCAACTCTTTTATCAACAAATAGTGGGATTGATCATCACATTATAACGCCCCCCCCACAGCTGAAAGGGCAAGCATGTTTGGTGGGACAGAGATTCGAACCCGCGACCCTCAGATTGCGAGTCAAGAACCCTAACCACCTGGCCTTTCCCCAGTGACTCAGTGGTATGCCTGTGGACTTACAACGCTGAAAACCAGGTTTCGATAATCGTGGTGGGCACAGCACAGTTAGTCCAGTGTGTATCTTTGTGCTCAACTACAAATAAACAAAACTTATAAAATAAACATTCTTGACAAATATTACTACAAGATGTGTATGTAAATGAATGTTAAATCCCCCAAATGATTGATGATTTTTGGAAACGAAATTTTTAACATTTATAAATATAAAAATGATTTTTTTATCCTAAATATATCCGTCGCAATATAAAAATTGAAATTAACATAAGAATAAAATTATTCAAGTCTACTGGTCTTGATTATTTAAAAAAAACATTTTCTTCCCTATTTTAGTTTTTTTAAATCGAAAACCAATAAATAACTTATGACTTAAATACAGCTCACTTAATATAAGTCTGTCGATCTTGAAAGTATTGTTACGACAGCGGAGGTCACATGACGCTGGTAACACGTAATGAGTATCTAGAAGGAAACGGGGAACATCACGAATAATCCAGTATTTGCTAGACGCCCTCTGTTCCTGTATATAAGCGCGCCAGATAAGGCGAGACAATTAATCGGAATTGGAATCGCAGATAGAGAGATTGAAGATATAGACACGGATAGTTGAGTCAAGCGGGCGGTAGGCACCGTAAGTAAAGCGCGTGAATCGTTGTGAATTATAGCGTGTGTTTAAGTTAAAGTGACTGTGGAAATTAAGTGTATTACAAAGTTTGTAACGAGAAATAATAAACTGGTTTTATTTAAGAAAGGACTTGTATCGCTGAAGTTTCTCGGAAAGAACTTCTACGGAAAATTAACAAACGAACAGAGACGTAACAATGTGTGATAAAAAAAATCTCTCAAATGACCGATAGGATTTGAAAACGAAATACAGCTGGAGAACTAAGGTTTTACCAGTTATGAATGTAAATAGTGTTTTCATCCTAAGTATGTCAGTACTGATTGAAAGTATATAGACTGTGTGTATTCCTCTTGTAATGAAAGAGGAAACTGGAGAAATCCCATCAGTATCCCTAGTGCCACCCCAACTGAAGCTACGAAATTTGTGCATTTTGAAAGAAAAATGGCTTCCTCGTAACTTATCCCGAATCATTCCTAGCTAGTTAAACCATAATTTACAGGTCCAAATGCAAATGCAGATGTTTTAATATTCTGTTAACATTAAAGCCCAAACAACACCTTATGTTCACATGTGTTAAATAACTAGGTTAGAGATTATTATAATTCAGGTAAAAACATTTCTAATTTTGAACTATTGGCTAGAACAGGAGTCTACTAACTGGCTCGGCACGGCCAGGTGGTTAGAGCGCTGGACTCGCAATCTGAGGGTCGCGGGTTCAAATCCCCATCACACCAAACATGCTCGCCCTTTCAGCCGTGGGGGCGTTATAATGTGACGGTGAATCCCAATATTTGTTGGTAAAAGAGTAGCCCAAGAGTTGGCGGTGGGTGGTGATGACTAACTGCCTTCCCTCTAGTCTTACACTGCTAAATTAGGGACGGCTAGCACAGATAGCCCTCGTGTAGCTTTGCGCGAAATTCAAAAACAAACAGTCTCCAAACTACGATCCGCTACTTCAGTTTATTAAAGTAATAACATAATTTTTTATTCTCTTCTGCTTCTTCTTAGTTCCTGTCGTTCCTAGTGGAACATAGGGCTACAACAACACTTCGCCGACGGAAGTGTTGTTGCAGTTTCTGTAGCAGATTGTTATCGGGGTGGAGTTGCTAGCCCCACGCCCAAGTGGGCATGTTTCGTGCGACAAGGACGCGAACTCGCGACCCTCAAATTGCGAGGCGAGTGACTTATCCACCGGGCCATATAAAAATAAAACGTAATTAAGCAAAAGCCAATCTGATCATGTATGCATCCCTACTTAATTTTACCACGACCACTCCGGCCCGCGAAGCCTAAAAAGATCTATCTCCTTGTCCAAAAAGGTTTGAAGACCCCTGGACTAGAGGGACAGCATCCGCCCCTACAAAACCTTTGTGACCGCCACTTTTATAGCTCGCCCACACTTGAAAATGTGGAGCTTTTTCACGTCTCAAACCTACTCATTAGGCATGCCCATGGATTTTAGTTTGATTTGAGGAAAAATTATAGTAACAGTTGTTGCGCCATCTGGTAACCAACTTGGATTCTTATTTAATTGTTTGTCTCTTTTTAATATGCTTTGAAGTGTAGTCTTTTAAATATTATTTTATCTTATAATATATTTTAATTACGTATTTAATGGTCAAATTAATAATTTTAGAAATTAAATTTTATATAGTTTTTCAACAGATTACTTCACAAATATCTGAAAAAATGAAAGAGCAGAAGAATATTGGAAATGTATTTATACTAGTAGTTTTTATGAAAAATACAGCAATATTCAAAATCACAGAATCCTTTTAGAATCCTCATTCACAGTTCCATAAGAAGTTCGTTTTAAGTTTCTGTTTTCTAAAAATATTTTCAAGAACATCGAAAACGTAAATAGTAACATCACCAAAAGAAGAAAATCAAACTTTAATTTATAAATACAAATTGAAATATTTTTATATTTTTGTTTCTTAAAATAATATTAATTTTACCTCTTGTCATTTTTTAAGTTAGTGTCAACTTTTAACTTAATAAACTGTTGATGTATGAGCAGGGGGCGTATTAGGTTATAATGTAACGGTGTTATTATGGAGGAGGGAACGGGGGAGAATTTAATTTGCAGTATGAGTTGTAACGACGAAAATAATGTCATAATTGAAAACACACAAAAAGGTTTGCTCCAAACTCTTGATATTGCAGTAACTGAATCAGAAAACCGCAAGACAGAAGTGTCGTTTGGTTTATGGGATAATCACACTGTGTATCTTGTAGAAAGTAATTCGAAGTGTAACTCGAATCCACTTGGAGATGGTAGGGTTCTAGAACTTTTAGGCCCAAGTAAAGAAAAAGCAGTGTGGAGACGATATAGTGATTTTGAAAACTTTCATAAATATCTAGAAACAGCTTATCCATTTATCGTTATACCTCCATTACCAGAGAAAAGGGTTTTGCATGCTTGGCAAAAACTGACTGTAGACAAGTACGATACTGACTTTATTGATCGTAGAAGGGCTGGCTTGGAAAAGTTTTTGTTGCGTGTCGCAGCCCACCCCCTTTTATCACGAGACAGTGTTTTTAAAAATTTTCTCCAAGAAGAAAATTTGCAAAAAGTAGTTACAACTGAAAGACAAATAAAAAAAGCCACTTCTACTCATAATCTTAGAATTGTAAATTTTTCAGCAGATTTACGAAATCCTAATAGAAATATAAGAGAAACCAAAATTTATGGTAATGAGTTATACTTAACACTTTCCAATTTGTTGAAAGTTAGAACTAAACTAGCTGATAGAGAGTATGGTATCCATAAATTGCACGAAAATTATGGGCGAGTGTTCAGTGAGTGGCCTATTGTTGAGAAGCAAATGACCAATGAGCTTCAAAGTGCTGGACACTACATGGATGTATATTCAGTTTCTATAGATTCTTTGTTAGATGAAGAAGAGGAATTTATTGACCAAATAAAGGAATACACATTCTTTGCAGAGTCTTTAAAATGTGTTTGTAATTTCTTAGAAATGAAACAACATGAAATAGAACAAATAGAAGACATCATTACAAGCAAGAGAAGTGAACAACAATTAGCAAAAGATAGAAGACATTCTCTTGTGTCCAAGGTATTTGGAAGATCAACTGATTCAGATTCAAAGTACAATAGCAGGTTTAATGAGCTAGATCTAGAACTTAAAACCTTAGAAGCTGAGATGGTTCATGTAAAGGAAGAAGAAAAACACATTTGTCACAAAGCTCTGGTTGACATTGCTAGATTCCAGCAACAAAAAGTCATAGATTTAAAAGAAGCTTTAATTTGTTATATTGTGTTCCGTATAAAAATGTTTCGCCAAGGGTTACTGATTTGGAAAAACATCCAAGAATCTTTTACTAAACTGTAAGAAGGAATAAGAGTAAGCTTTCGTATGCTTGCTACTGATACATATTGGATGTTCTGTATCTTGTAATATTATTACTATTAGAATATAATATTTTTCATTATTTGAATGACATGAATAAGTTGTACATGCATTGTATTTTCTGTTGAAGTTAATAAGATCTAAGCACTTATCAGGCTACTCAACAATTTATATTAATGTAAACTAATGCTAATTGTGCCTTGAATCTTAGCTTGTCTTAGAGTTTTGTGGATATATTTATTTTTTATAGTGTAGGTAGATGTAGAATAGTATATTCCAGTGAAAAAGAACTTGTGCTACTGTCACGTTGTTAAAAAGCATTGTTGTAAAAACTACGTTATTAACTGTATGCTACATAAACAAATGTTGTAAAACTTTAAAATTTTTACCAGCAGAAATGATTAAGGGCTTCTAATTAAAAGTAAGCTAACTATATAAGTCAGAACATGTGTGTTAATGAAGTCAGTCCAACATAAAATGGCTTAAGATTTAAGTTCATGTTATAAATCAATACATCAGAAAACTAAAGCCTATAATGATTGCATTGCATTGGATTATCGACGGTCTTTGCTATTAGTGTTAACCATAATTTCAGTAATATCCCACAGGATTATCCAGCTTAAGAGATTTAATCTAGGTATGAGCTTATCCATTGAGGCTGTCAATGCAAAATAGTCTAAATATTAAATTTAAAAAATATTTTTTACATTATAACCAATAAACTTTTTTATAAAAGTAAAGAAAAATAGAAAAGGCTTCTATTACTTACAGAATAGAAATAAACAAATCTTTTAGATCTACACAGTTTACACTTGAGGGTCAACAAGGGGTCTCTTGGCCCAGTGTGGTTATCCCTCCATATCAAACACCTATATGCTTATATCCTACGCTGACTCCCTACAAGTCTTCTCTTGAACTCTTCCAATCCTGTTGTATATTCCACATCTGAAGGCAATTTATTTCAACAGATGATCACCCTGTTTAAAAAATTGCTATACACAGAAGACTTCTGTCTTGCCAAATATTAAATCTATGCTTCCTGGTCATCCATACCATTAAACATGAAAAAATAGTTATGCGTTAAGCCTATCTAACCCTTCTTTTCTCAAGAGAAAATCATCTTAAGGGCTTAAGTGCGTCCTCTTAGGACAGCTTTTCACTCACAGGAATCATCCTAGTAGCTCTCCTTTGAATCATTTCAAACAGTTCAATATCCTCAAAGTAAGAAGCTTAAGACTGAACAAAATAATCTAAATGAGGCCAGACTAGAGGTCTATACAAAGAAACTTTAACCTCCTTTGGTTTATATATTCGGTATTCCTTTAGATATAATCCAAATCATATTTGCTTTCCTACTAGCAACAACACGCTGCTTAAAAGACTTGTGAGACCAATCAACCAAAATGCTAAGACCATCTTCTATAACACTTATTACTTTGATTTCTATCGCAGTGGTAACTGAAGTTTCAATTAAGATAACATTATCTTTCATTTAACATTATTAAATTTTATCTGTCATTTATTTACCAATTCACCAGATGATCCAAAATCCCTTTTTTATAAATGGCCAGGTGGTTAGATCGCTCGACTCGCAATCTGAGGGTCGCGGGTTCGAATCCCCGTCTCACCAAACATGCTCGCCCTTTCAGCCGTGTGGGCATTATTATG